AAAGGTGAGCTTGATATGACGTTAGCCAGTGATCTTTACCCTCAAAGAATCTGCCTTGTTGATTGTTGCCTAGAGTAAATGGGGTGATAAATATTCTTTATGGTTACAAATACGCCTCCTATGAACTTCATAAATTACCAGTTTCTAGAAGAGTGAACTTCCATCTTTCTTAAGCCACCCTATCAACCTTAAGTGATTTAGGAAAATTTGCTCTAAAAGCGTTGAAATATGTGACAAATGCTTGGTTTTAAATTATGTTGCTACCATTCCAAGGGCCTTCTTTGGTATTATTTGAGATGTTTTAGAGGACCTGAACTGTAGGGCTTAGAACCACTACTGAGGAGGCAAATACCTCTATAATCATGAGACTTTGCTACCTTAGTCGGCTCTAGATGCTTAAAAAGTATTCACAGTTGCTGACAAAGATGTCGGTGATTCTTCTAATGTAAAAGTATTATTTAAAGGTTACATTCCACAAGGATGGTGAAGCTTAGGTTGTGGGATGGCCTAGTAAGATATTGTCATGCACAGTGGTGAGAATGATGGTAAAGGTTAGGGGGCTAGTGAGAAGGGAATTTGACTTAAATGATCTTTACGATGGGCATGATTTTCTTCACGCTGAAGATGAGACATTCGTAACATCATAGACTTCTTAGAATGATGAGGAGATTTTACAAAGACTAAAAAGTTTAAGGAAACATACTTTGAACCTTTACTATGAATAGACCTGGCTGCATCTCTCTCCTGAAAGGAACAGGATTCTCCCATCAGAGTCAACCCAGAGGCACAGCACACTCTTCTTATTGGAACATGTTTCCCGAACGTGACTGATTTTTCTGCCATTCATTCATTCACTCATTTGTCCAACAAACACTTACTGAACTCCAACTATGTACACTGTAAGTTCTGGGAAAGCTGAACGAGACCTGGCAGACTTATCCTCTCTATTGCCGTGAAGCCAGGAGAGCAATTACACTTGTAGTTGGAATACACTGTGATGAGTAATGCTAGGGAAGTACAGGCTGCTGGGATGACCCTTTTGTAGTCTTCGGGGGCGGGGGGGCAGGGAATGGCTCCATGAAGAGGTCTAGTTGAGGACAGGTAGGAAATGCAGTAGGCGCTAGGGAAGGACTGGGGAACAGTATTCTGAGCAGAGAAAATAAGAAGCAATAAATGGATAAAGGCAGAAGAATGCAGTGGCATGTTTGAGGAAATAAATTTTCAGGATGGCCCCCAAGAGTAGACTTTGAGAAAAATTGTGTTTAGGATTAAGGCTAAAGCAGGTAGACCCTAGACCATATAAGCCACTTTAGAGAGTCTGGACTTTATCCAAATGAAAAGGGAATCAATTGAATGGTTTTATACAAGGGAAAGTAACCTGATCGATCTGTGTTTATTAAAGGACACGCAGGCTGCTGCATGGATAATGCATGTGGAGGGAGGGGGATTAAGTCAGAAAGACTGGTTAGGAGGCTCAGGACAGGACCACAGTTTTGACAACAGGAATGGAGAGAAGCAAAAGGAATTGAGAGAAAAGGAGGTGTAAATCAGCAAGACTCTGGGCTGATGTGATGTAAGACTGAATGAGAGGGAGAACAGGGGATGATATTAAAGTTCAGCTTGGAAGACGCAGTGGCTGATGGTGCTGTTCACTGTAAAGAAATTAGGTAAGAACAGGTTTGTGGAGTTAAACTGTTTGGAGAGAGGCTGAGTTTGAGATGCCTGCAGGTCATCCAAAGTGAAGCCATTTATCATCAGTCAGTTACACAGACACAGAATTCGGCAGGGAGATTAGACCTAGACGTACGGATTTGGGAATCATCCATTGGAATGCCCTGTGGAGCAGAGCTAGTCAAGGAAAGGCTAAGAGAAAGCACCCCAAGCTGACGGAGAAATAGCCTGAATGGTAAAGCAATACCTTGAGAGGGTGCTGATTTGGTAACTAGGGCCAGAGATTGATTGATGGGGAGGGAGAGAGGGACTTAGCAAAACCCTTTGCAGCTGTGAAGATGGGGCCAAACGGGGACAGTGAATGGTCCCCCTGGATTTAGTGACAAGGATGAAAGCCGTTCCCTTCCAGTTAGAGGGTGAGTGTTGGCAGCACTCCATTTTCTTTCTCTTCTTGTAAATCAGATCACATGGCCTGTGAGCATGGAGTAAAAGTCAAGAATTTTTGGACTCCTGGGGAAGACCTCTTCTCTGAGTCAAGTGTATGAGCTGCAGGAACATTCCTTATTCCTTCCTTTAGGCACTACTTTTGCTCATTTTTGGTCCTCTGCTTTGTTACTAAGTGGTGTAAACTGCTTAGTTTTAGGGAGATGACATACTCTTCAAGTTAGTGAAAGGTTGTTTTTTTTTTGTTTTTTTTTTTCTAAAAATCCAATGAAACAAAAATGTTTTAGTGCATTAACTTATAATTATCCAGAGCACCACATGCATAAACATTTCAATCAAGGAAAGTTTGACTTATATAAATGTTACATTCTAATTGCATTGAAAACAAGAAAGCCCCTTCCGAACCTGAGTATACAATTTTATCCTCATTAACAGAAATGGGTCTGTACTTTAGGACATTGTTATATAATTAGCAATGAATACATTGCTACGGACAATTCTAGAAGGTCAGAATTTTTCTGAAGGAACAGGAATAAGTAATTCTTCATTTTGATGGCCTTGATTTCATTTTTGAGGGACTTTTATTTTTCTTTTGTTTCTCCCCCCTTATTTTCAAGCTTTGAGTTTGAGTGGCTGCATTCCTTAAATCCAGTATCATGAAGAATAGAAAGTTCAGGGCACGAGAGAGGGAACAGATAACCACTGTTGATTTAGAGAAGTAGCCATATTGAAAATACTGGAAAAACATCTATTCTCCCAGTATCTTTAGGAAATCATGGTAGTCTGTCCTCACCCTAGTGTAAGCTGCTCTACGATGGATTTCCATACGATGTGAATTTGCCTTGGGCTCCTCCAAAACATGTTTAGCCCTTAGAATTAATAAGATTATACTGGCAAGGCAGAAGAGGGTGGGCTAGACCTCCACATTTGAATTCTGGCTTCACCACATATTTACTCTGTCTTAAGTTTTTTTAACCTCCTAGCCTCAGTGAAATGAGGGAAGTAATAGAATCTTCCTCATTAAGTTGATTAAACACCTAGCATAGGAGGCACTGAATACACATACAAAATTTTACACAATCCCATGACACAGACCCTTGGTAATAATGAGAGTCCTCTCTAATAGGAGTAAATGTTTACTGAGTTCTACACTGAATGCATCATTATATTTTAAAATATTCTTCCAGCTATAATAATGAGTAGGTAAACAAACTCTCTCTTGCCTTGACCTTCCTTTAACTGATGAAATACATCTCCCAGTGTATCTGGTCACAGGAGAATTATTCAGCTGTACCTTTAAAAGAAAAATTTTATTTATTTGAGAGAAGAGAGCGTACACACATACACACAGGTTGGGGAGGGGCAGACTTAGAAGCAGACTCCCTGCTGAGCAGGGAGCCTGACCCAGAGCTTGATCCCAGGACCCTAAGATCATGACCCAAACCACACACAGACACTGAACTCACTAAACCCAGGCGCCCTCGTTCAACTGTATCTTTTATGCATGCCTTCAACACGCCCAAAGCACCTCACGACTTACAGATCTGTATAACTCAGGGGTTAAAGTAATCCACTGCCTTTCTGGGGAGAGTTGCAGACAGACCTCAGACCATGGTTTCACTGGGTGCTTCAAACCTGTGAATTACATTGCAGGGGGAAATGTCCCATTTTTTCAGTTCTCTATCACTTAGTCTATATCTGGAACTCTCCATTAAGCTCTCAAAGAGCATCACCGGGCTCATTGTCGTAAGTAGTCGCTGTGGAGTCCTTTACATTTTAAGGACACACACACACGTCACTTGTTTCTCCTGTGAAATCGATTACTACTATCCTTATGTTATAGATAAGGAATTGGAAGCTCAAAATAAGGTAAAATTGCTCACCAGCGGGCGCACAGAATGTGAGTGAGAGAGCTGGACCGGGAGGCTGTCATCCCACACGCCCTGTTTTTATCAGCTGATACAGACTAGGAGGTAGATTAATGGATACTAATAGGGAAAAATGACTAAAATTGGCTAAGAGGGGGGAAAGCCATTTGCAAAACCGTGTTTACTAGAAGATCATTTTTGTAAAGATATTAGTGATAATCAAAACGGAGGAGGCAGAAAGTACAGTTTGTATACAGAGAAGACGTGTGTGCCCTAAGATGTCTGTGGCTGCGACAGGTTGAGTAACTTCACTGATTCCACAAACATTCATGGAGAAACTATTCCTTGGACTTACTCTTCAAAAGGGCCTCCAAGTGGGCTTGCCAGTTCTCATTCCTTTGCTTTCCCTGAAAGCAGAAGCAAAATATTTTACTGCTTATTTAGTAAACAGAGAATTTCCCCACTGACCAGTGTGGGCTTGGACACAGAGCCCTTGCACACACCACTTCCGCTCTCTCAAACCTGTGTTTGCACCCCGAGCACACAGCGTGGCTTCCAGAACCAGCTTGGTCACCTGGGCTCACACTCCAGGCTTCGACTCAGGCTTGCGCTCCGGCTGTGTCTCACTGCCTTTTCTACATTCAAGTGGTTCTTGAAATTATGGATGAAAAAGGTAACGCAGAACATTTTAAGAAGTTAGAGATTGCCATTGTACAGCTGCAGAAGTTTCAATGGCATAATCTGTGTACAAAATAACAAGCCCCTCTAGTACCTGTAATATAACCCAGGTCAGAGAGCGGGGAGATCACAGGTTAATTTTTAGAGCCCCGTCGACAGAAAGCGGAGTGTCACCCTGGCCCGCGTGCCTAATTACTCCAATTCTCAGACCTCCCGTATCACAAAGGGCTACCATCTTCTTGTTTAAAACACGACAATAAAACGATCCAAGGATAAAGCACACAAAATGCTGACTGTCACGTGGGTGTCTCTTTGTGTTTTCTCTGCGTGATGCTCCAGGTGGGAGAGTTCAGAGCCCATGCCGCTGAGTGGACGGCCAACGTCACGGCCGAGTTCAAGGAGACCAGGAGGCGCCTGAGTGTGGAGATCTACGACAAGTTCCAGCGCGCCACCTCCATCAAGCGCAAGCTGTCCGCGGAGCTTGCCGGCAACCACAACCAAGAGCTGACGCCTTGCAGGAGGACCCTGTCTGTGAATCACCTCGCCAGCGAGAGGGATGTCTTGCCTCCCTTACTGAAAACTGAGAGTATCTATTTGAACGGACTGACGCCACACTGTGCAGGCGAGGAAATTGCTGTTATTGAGAACATTAAATAACCCTCTCTTTGAAGAACCTTAGGCATAGCCATAGGTGAGGACTTCTATATGCTCTTTATGACTGTTGCTGGTAGCATTTTTTAAATTGTGCATGAGCTCCAAAGGGGGAAAAAATAATAGATACACCCATCACGGCCATCTACCATCGAGAGAATTTGGAATTCTGAGCCAGCACTATCTTTTCAATGATGCTTGTGGAGTGGTCCACTTTCCTCAGCAAGTGGAATGAAACAAGCAATGTCTGATGCCTTTTTGTGCCCAGACTGTTTTCCTCCCTCTTTTCGTAACGTGCCATAAGGCCTCAGAATGAATTCTAATTGTTTCTGGTAATCATGTAGCTTCGAGGGATCAGTCCTTAACTTTTCAGGGTCTACCTAACTGAGCCTAGATATGGACCATTTATGGATGACGACGTTTCTTTTTGTAAATGGCAAGAGATTCTTATGCAGCCTTTTACCTAAGAAATTTTCTGTCAGTGCCTTATCTTCCGAAGAAACAGAACCTCTCTGGCTAATGTGTGGTTTCTCCTTCCCAGCCCCACCCCTAGGCTCACCTCTGCAACCCTTTATCCCACAACCATACCTTGCTGGGAACAGTGCGTACACTGAAATGATGATGCCCGAAGAAGGAATAGATGCCAAATTAGATGGACATTGAAGCAACACTCAGAAATTCTAGCGTTAAAGGCACTGCAAAGAAATGAGGTGCACAGACGGCCCCATATACACAGTGTAATTATTTCCAACGTGGTAAAATTAGCTGCTCCAAACAGTCCCTTTTTTTTTCCTAGCAGTATTTGGATGTTATCATTCATTCATCACTACACCTTAAAAGGCAGAAGCAGAAGGAAAAAATATATATATATACATATATGTGTGTGTGTATATATATATATACACACACACACACACTCATATATGCTCTGACAGAAGAAAAGCTGTTAAACACGGATCTTACTAGAGGTGATTTAAGACAACTGGTGTGAATTACCGTTCTGAAGAAAAGAAGATAGCACAGTAATGTGTTACAACCATTTGCTAATAAACATTATACTGCCAGCCCCTATTTGCTTTTGTGATGTGGAAGACTTACCCGATGTTTCTTTCCCTGGGTGACTTTTGCCAGACAGGAGGTGATGCTGTGGTTGGAGTTGGGCACAGCCTCGCCTGTGTGGGTGCCCCCCTGGAGCTGTGACTGAGCATGAGAGCAGAAGTTAAAACTGGGATCACTGTGATATTGCACATGGGAAAAAATGCAGATTGCAGGCATAATTCATCTTTGACATTAGAGAAAAAGCTGTTCTAGCACAATTTAAATCGAGAGCTTTTTTTTTTTTTTTTTTAAGATAGAAAAGGCTGATAACCCTTTTTAGTTGAGTTTTATATCCTGTAACTCTTTGGATGTTTCCAAGATTCAGAAGAAATTCATTAAAGGCACCTAGTAGATTGCTACTCTCTTTTATTTTCATACTTAGATCTGCTGTACTTTGTATATATAATTTTTCAAATGCAGAAAGAAGACAACTTCCCCAAATACAATTGCAAACATTTCTTTTATCGGGGGGGGGGGGGGGAGGGTGGTGGAAATATCTGAATAAGTGGCATTCAGATTAGGGACTTAAAACATAAACTGAGGATCTTTAAAAAAAAAAAAAAAACCATCTAAATAGATGCTTATTTTCCAAAATTTAAATTTAAGCTAGAAATGTAAATATTCAGTTAACTTGTTGAAGGTACTTTTATAAACTTAAATTCTAACCAAAATTTTAGAAAGTGAGGCTCTTTTAGAAAGAAATCTACACCCATTTCTTTGATAACTGTTAAAGTTCATATGGTGAAATGCACCATGTATAAACTGTGAATTGTATTGACAAATAAAGTTTGTAATTAAAGTCAGCATTTTCTGAGTCTCCTGCTTGCTGCTAAGAATGGAGATGGGATTCTAGCCGAGAACTCCAGGATGTCACTTTTCATGCTGAGTTTTCTGTGGCGCCTTCGTTCACAATATTCAAGAACTATTCTTGATGCAGTATTACTACCCTTGTTAAATATGTGCAGAATGTTCTTCTTGGTGACTGTTAATCAAAAGTAAATTATCCGGGCATTTCCCTTTTGCAATACGATATTTTAAATAGCATGTAAATTCCAAGATTGTTTCTATTACATTAGGACCTATTAATGTCTTATTTTATCATTGTTAGACCTTGTCTTGACACTGAAGTAGTCTGAATGCCAAACACAGGCATCTGAATATTTTTTGTAAGGGAAAAAACAATCCAAAACCCTGGCAATGTCAAAGCCCAAAGAAGTCAGTTGCCAACTAATCTTCTAGACCTCATACCGCAGATGTTTGAACAACAGACCTTACCAGTATCTTGCATAAATGTATTGATTCATCCCTAAGCACCTTGATGGCTCAGTATGTATCCTAAACCTGGTTGTCAACCTTATCCTCAAAATTGGGGAAAATCTAAGAAAAACTGTGTATTATACCAGTTTTATTTCCTTAAGCTTTAATGTGTCTACTTACTGTGAAGAGAATGTGGGTACAGATTTTTGACATGGTCTAGAATTTCTAGTGAACTTATTTTTTCATCAGACCAGATTAAAGCCTAAGTAGTTTTGCCCTGAAGAATATCCAAAAAAAAAAAAAAAAAAAAAAAAAGTCCTAGAATGAACAAGGATCAGGAACCCTTTGAAATCTTAGACATGGATTCTCGACAAGAATCCTCTACCTTACAGCTATTAAATGTAAAAGTGATTATTTTGCAGTTCTTTGAATTTCTTACACAAATCTATATATTTTGCTACCTAGTTAATGTCATCCACCCTCTTTTCAATAATATTTCACTTTTGTAATGCAGGAAGAAGTAAAACTTCTAAAGCCAAGAGAGAACTGAATAATTTGTTTCTTAGTGGTCAATAAAGTGGGAGCAGTCTGTATGTAGGGCTTGGTTTCTTTCTCAAATTCTAAGGACCATGTGATGTGTAAGAAAGACTAAACCCCACCTTACTTTGTATAAAAAAAAAAAAAAATGTGTAGAATTCTTTGAATCTTAAAGGCTAGAGTTTCCAAGCAGACTAAAGGAAACTTTAGATGAAATACCAAAAACAAAAACAAATTCAGCCATTGTGAAGACTCGAGATAGTTATTTATGCCTAAGAACTACAGACCTAGATCAACTTATATTGTTTTCCTTTTTTAAAAAAAAAAATTGCTGTTCTAGTAAAATCATAACTTATTTGTGGTGTGCATTCCTTATTAAAGTATAAGTTTGCTTTTGTATAAAGTTAAAAGATGTCTCTATTTGGATACTCATAATTCCATTAAAGTTAATATATGATTTTGCTCCAGCATGAGTTTACTTAAATGTCCTTTTATAGGGAAACTTACTGGCCTTGCACTAGCTCGTGTGTTAGTTCCAAGATGGAACCTGGTTCCTTTTAATGGGGACTTCTGAGGGTAACTCACTTACTCTGGTTTTCTTAATAAGGGGAAATCTTCATAAGCTCCTTTGCTTCCTTCATCCCACCCCACCACAGAGGTTTATCCAGTTTTGGTTTCATACATGGCACTTTCCCACCCACATCTCAATGACGCCTTCCCAAAAGACAGGGATTAGTTCCAAGGACCAGGAGTTTTGACTCTGCTCTTTAAACCTCAGTTATTACTATTTCTAATATTCATAAAATCATTGCTTTTCCCTATTATTATTAGCACTATAAAATATTTGCACTGTGTCATGCTTGTCTCAATTTACAACTATTTTTTTCTTTTTATCTGTCATTCCTTTCCAAAGTATTTCTTATTGCCTTGTCCGTATCCTTTCTCTTTTGGACTCTTGGGCTTGTTTCTCTCCAAGCCATCTATCCATCTAGCCAGTTCCCATTGGATATCTCCACTTCTCAAAGGCATTTTAGCATATCCAAGACTCTCCTGATCTTTCCCCAGACGCGGCCCTCTTGGTGCCACCTATTTGAACAATTGGCACAACTTATCCATCTTGTTGGGCATTATCCTTGATGTCCTCTCCCCTTCAACTCCACACCCACCTTTCACCAAAGCCCTACAAACTTGCATCCTGAATGTCTGGGATTTGTACACAGCCACTACCTTTATCCAAGCCATCGCCATATAACTCCCCTTGGACTAACTGCTTTTGCATCATTCTTTGCTCCTGTCATTGATGGTAGAGTGGACTTTTTAATATGCAAATCTGATTGTATTACTCTCCAATCTAAATCCACTAATTGTCTTTCAATTTTTATATAAGACCAGAATCCCTCAAATGGCCTACAAGGCTTTCTTTTGGTCTACTTTATGCCATCATCTTCAGATTCATCTTGTATCACTCCCTATTCCTCTGTAGCCCAGCCCCACTGCATTTCTTTGATCACGTTACGCTGCTGTCCTCCTCTTTGCGTGGAATGCTTGCTCTCCTTTCTCACTTCAACCTTTCTCACACAACAAACTTTTACTCATCCTCCGAAACCAGCTCAAGTGTCACTTCCTCTGATAAGCCTTCCCTGACACCAGTTCCGGTACCTTCATAATATACTGTATGAAATCCCATTATTGTCCCTCGATTTATGATTAGGTAGTCATCATTATTCTTATTTTCCTTCCCCACTAGAATACATTTGTATTGGCTTGCTATTTTTTAAAGATTTTATTTATTTATTTGACAGAGAGAGATCACAGAGAGGCAGAGAGGCAGGCAGAGAGAGAGGAAGGGAAGCAGGCTCCCCACTGAGCAGAGAGCCCGATGTGGGACTCGATCCCAGGACCCCGGGATCATGACCTGAGGAAAGCAGAGGCTTTAACCCATGGAGCCACCTAGGCACCCTGGCTTGCTATTTTTATTTCCAGATCCTAGCCGAGTACATATAGCAGGTGCTCCAAAAGTTCATGGTGAACAAATTACATAAAAACGGGTTAGGGTGCCCCTGGGTGGCTCAGTGGGTTAAAGCCTCCACCTTCAGCTCAGGTCATGATCCCGGGGACCTGGGATTGAGCCCCGCATCGGGCTCTCTGCTCAAGCGGGGAGCCTGCTTCCTCCTCTCTATCTGCCTGCCTCTCTGCTTACTTGTGATCTCTGTCAAATAAAT